AACCGAACGGTACTCCAAGGTCGCCAATACCCGTGTCACATTACAACACACAAATATGCGCCCACTGTCGGTCGACTCACGCCAGCGTGAACGGTTATGTTTCAAGGACGACACAGACCTTTGTACGCCCTCACAAAATATTCAAGGGTTATTATTAGTTAAGAAACATCGAGGCTAAATCAGCTGCATTTCATGAGTTGGACCTGTAGGTTATTCAAAAATTACCCATTTAATCGTAAAAGATGTGCCGTAGACTTGTTTTAGACATTTTTCTTTTACTTTTTTTATCTAGAAACTAAAAACATGTTAATACTTTCGTTGTTTGATAGTCGTGAATAGTTATTTATAAATTTTATCAACGGTCAGTTTACATTGTTTTTTATTTTATAAAATACAAACAAGGGAAGTTTTTATTTCGTTCATAGAATAATTGTATTTGTTACACGTATCTGATGAATCACTACTCGGAATACAACTTTCAGGATGAACATTTTACTACAAAACTTTAGAACAAATGTTTTTATTCGAGATATGTTAAGTGTATTCAACACTATGTACGTAACGTCAGAGATGAATGCTAAACAAATCGAAGAAAAATAAGTTCTTTTTAGAACATATCGCAATACTAATCTCGTCCATGTGTACTACCATCTAGCTCCTGTGTATGCAGAATTGAAAGTAACACATACTCTATTCAAATAATTTTTAACTTAAACAGTTAAATGAACGACTAATATTTTTGATTATAATAATATTTCAGCATGTGCACTTATACGAGGTAAAATATTACTCTGAAAACAAACAACGACGTTTTATTCAATAATATTGTTATTGAAATGCAGAAAGACAACTCAAATGTAATGTAATGCTCTAAAATTTAGAAGATCCAGCTGAACAATTTTTGCCTTAGGGTTGATCCGATATAAAAAAGATTGAAACAACTTTAAATGAGATGTCATACTATAATACAAATGGCTATTTTTACTATGTAAATATTTTGTTGTTATTGATAACGTAACATTACCCTTTATAAAAAAATTTTACCGAGCACTTTAACGATACAAGACTTCATAACATTGCGAGCTATTTGTTTTTCTATTGTACAAAATAAAAATACACTAACCAAATGATTTTCGTAACTGAATGAACAAGTCATAAGAAATAACTCGAAAATTAACATTTAAACAACAAATGAAACTTGTAAGAAAAGGGTTGAGTTCTGTAGAATAAAGTCGTTATTATATAAACGTGTACTATAAAATTATGAATGAATATTCGCCAATAGGTAGAGTTTTTTGTTCTCTTACTGTTTTATGTATATACACGGCAATATTTTTTTCAAGACGACTTTCGTAACATTTGTAATATACAAAAAGAAAACATGCCAGATGTGTACACGTTGTAAACTGTTATGTATGCAAAACTGTGTATAAAGAAAACTCAATTTAGCGTCTCCAGCACGAGCTATTCGGTAGAAGAATCGGACACATAATAACACCAATATGAAAATTTAAATGTCATAAGGTACAGCATTTCGTAACAGAACTACATATTTCTGTTGAAGTAATATTACATATAGTGTTTTTAATTCTGCACATATAAATTTGTCGGCGAATGTCGTGTCAAAGACCGAACGATTAAAAAATCGATTAAAGTCGATAGAATACAAAAGAGTACGTTCAACCAATACGAAGAAGATTTACTATTTTATAATTTGTATAGATTGCCTTAGTATTACTATAAACAAAATAAAAACTAACACAGATTTACTGTTTATTGTGTCTGTGTTAGATCGATAAACGGAAACGAAGGTTGTAAAGATATTTGGTTTGTATATTATGTGTAATGTGCTTCGATATATGATTTATCGAAGTACATTATTATTATTGTTGTATTACAACAATCATTAACGATTTCGCAATGGATTGATTTTACTTTAACTATATAAATGAATAATAAAGTCATTCATTAAGTACTCATTAGTTGATAACTTGATTTGATAACATTTGGGAAATTAAATGCGAAATTAATTTGTCTAATATAGTATTTCTAAGGCTTTGTTTTGAATATTAACTATTTTAGGTAAAATATAAAAGAATTAACTAATATCTATTAATTTACAATGTATCTACAGTATTAACATTGAAAAGTATTTCGAAACCCGGTTTTTTAGAGACAAACCGTAACGATTTTTTATGGGTCTCGAAAAATCCGTTTAAATGCTTAAGTAAGAAAATAATACATTAAGTTGGTACGTCATGATATAAATACAGAGTTTAGTTGGATATCCGTTTTTAATATTTATAACCGTCATTAATAGAAAACGAAATGTCCATTACTGGTATTTTTTTAGTGAGAACTTCCTACTAAATAGCTGTACGATAAAAAATTTGATTAATATCGGTATTGTCAAAAAATATTCTCAAGACAAGAATTTAACTACAGGAAATTATTATTAGAAGGCGTGGGTGTACACAGTAACGACTAGTTATTTAAGATATTCAAATATATTGAATGATAAATTAAGGATAAAATACTTATTTTACCAAAAACTTTTGAATATTTTCTATTTTTGTAAATGGTAATTTTGTTTTATCCAAAAAACTATAATAATATGTAGTTAAATAATTTTCATTTCATTCCTTTAGGGAAAAAACCATAACTTTAATTTTTTTTAAACAGGAACCTCTATTTTAAGTTAACAATATGATAAAAAAAAAATTTTCACAGAATTTTTTTTATCCGATCAACTGTTCCCATTTTAATTATTTAAATACTTGGATTTAAAATGGAAATTTATCATTTGGTCTTCATAATACCGGCGACAAAACTGATGTATTTCAATTGATCATAAATTTATTCTTGCTATTAAAATTAACAGAGGCGATAACAAAAATTGTCAATAAACATTGTTCATGTGACACTATGGAGAGGTGATGACTACTTAATGTTCAACAACAAATTATCAATAGAAATTTGGATAAAAATCATTTAACTTTAATAATTAACAACAGAAGAACAGTTTATCAATAAAAAAAATATTATTGGAACAATTATTTTTTTTTATATATACCATTAAACTAAAAATAGGGATTCCATAAAAGAATATTATGGTTTAGGTTTTTTAAGTGTAAAAGGATAAAAAACGAATAATTTATAACAACATATTATTGTAGAGATTTTGAATCAAGAAAATTGTTTTATTTTAAATTGATTCCTCTGTATAGTATAAACAATATTTTTTTATAATCATCTTTTTCTCTAAATATTTAATATTAGCTAAAATGGGGAAATCATTTTACTTTAAAAACATTTACATAGAAAACTAATGAAAATTCGATATATCTATTAAGATGACTGGCCTAATGAAGTTGAGATTATAAACACAAAATATCTTATCTAATTTTGTTAGTTCTTGGTATTAGCATTGCCTAATTGGACAGCAATTTTAAAATCTGTATTATTAATTTGATTTTATACTCAACTTATTATTCCATTAAAATTATTAAATCAAACTAACGATTTATTTAATGGTGCAAGCAATTCATTAAAATGTTACTACTACAATTGCTAGAAAAATAAAGCAATTTTTAAATAATCTGAAAAAATTAAAGTAAATGTGTAAAATGATATATAATGATGTTATGGTAAAATATATATTATAAATATTAAATAATATTACGAATTGATACACGGTCGTAAAAGAACGTTGATCATTTTTAAATATTTATTTAGTTAACCGGAAATCATTATAAACATATGACTTGTTAAAATGTTTATATTTTTCCCAAATGCAGCTTACATTTTGCCAATATTGAGCACACGATATACACCACGTGTGTTATTGCGTCTAGCAGTCTACGCCACGCCAACAAAACCCCCTTAAAATGGCTATTTATTCGTGATTTGCTCTCCTCGTTTCTGGAATTTTCCATGAAAGAACTGCCTCTAACGCTTTAACTTATTTCGGTTGTGACCATTTTAATAATATTCCGACAATAGCTTCCTGTTACTGCATCATTGCACTACGCAGTCGGTCGTTTTTGTTTAACGTCCTCTTACTGCACGTAATATTTTTTAAAATTAGTAAAAAAAATTATATTTTTTAATTGGAAGTTGACTGGAGACGACTGCTATTGCACAGTATATTTTAGCGCCTAAAATGGAAAATAGACTAGAGTGGGCATCGTTCGACGGAGTTGTTTGTGCTGTACCCGTTAAGGATGTAAACGGCCATTTTGGCAAAACGACCCCAAGGTACGCGCGCGCATTTGTTTGTATTTGTGCATATTGCAAGACAACACAGGGGCTGGTAAAGAGAACAAGGAGAAAAGAACCGGGACAATACGTGGAGCGTACGGAGAGATCAATAGTTTCAGCTCCACCTACAAGTCAATAAAACTACCGCCACCGTTATTGTCATCCCAGAGCAAATGCAAAAAGTTAAAATATAATAAAAAAAAATTCAAAGATTATTCACTGGATTTTTTTGTTTAATAATTACTATTTTCTGTTAAGCGGAAGATAGTCAAAACTACTAGATATAAAGGATTATAATAATTCTACCTTAAAGAAAATGTTGAAATGATTGGCAAATTCTCTGTATCGTTGAATTTTAGACAATTATGCTTTAAATTAATCATAGGTTACTCATTTATTATTTAGTTAAAGAATTTAAATTATTATACATTATGTACACATTTACTTTATTCAGAAAGTCATTTAGGTCAGTAAAACAATAGTCATTTTGTAGCATAATAATTTTTATCATGAAGTAAAAATTTGGAAGTAATATATTTTTCACGGAGATGTATATTTAGATTAATAAGTTATGAATATTTCCATGATAACATTATACACACACAAAATGTTTTGAAAAAAATAAAAATAGTATAAAAGAATTACCCCTAATCTAAAAAAAGTTATTTTTAGTACTATAAATAATATATAATATTTTTATTTTAATCTTAGTTAATATTTAATTTTTCTATTTGTTTCAGGTAATATATTTTTTATTAAACTGAAGGCTTAAGTACAATAAAAAAGTAAGTCCACTTCTCAATTGTTTTATGACGATTAATTTACTGAATCGTTTTTCATTTTCAACATTTTTTCTTAGTTAAATATCTACGCAAAAAATTTAAATATAAAATCCATTTTTCATTCAAATATTCATTATTTAAATTAGCAATTAATAGAAAATTATTTTCCAAAAATTAGAATTACTTGATTTTTATACTGATCACTCAACTATACCACACAATAAATATTTTAATAACTTTTTTTTCATATTATGTTTAATGCATTACTAATAAATATGAAAATAATTTAAAACTATATACAACTTTGCAATTATACTAAGATATTTTGTAAATAAACTATAGAGTTTTTAAAATATTATTGTTTCAAATATAAATTTCTATAAATAAATACATTACATTTTCATTATCTGTAAAATGATCACCAATCCTACAGTTTGGTAACCTTCAAACTCTTTACCGCCTATCCTTATGAACATTTATTTTATTCTTATTGTATATATATATAATGACTATGTAATAATAAATACCTTTCTGCAGTGCTTTAAATTGCTTATATCCAATAAGAGTGGGTTAGTATTTGAATTCACCAGACCTATTTTTGCAATCAAATTATTTAACACTATACATATTCGTAGGTGTTATAAAGTGTTAATACATTATTTCTTTTGTTTTTTTCTGTAAATGATATTAAATTTAAAATTTTTATACCAACATTTAAATAGTTATTTCACTGTAAAATTATTCAGCCAACTATATAGTCATTGAATTAATTAACCATATATAATATTTAATAAAATTTTGATCAATTTTATGTCAAGCCTAATATTTATAATAACAAATTATTATTAAATATTTTTTTCATTTATTGTTTCGTCTTACTCTATGCATTTGACACTAATTGCAGAATTGCATTACATTTTGTAAATTATTGTGATGTTGCAAGAAACGTTGTTGTACTGTTATGTTAGGTTAGGCTTTTTTACGAATCATAAATGCTAACCAATTGAAAAATAAATAATATAGTCAGTGTAACAATAATAACAGCATTTCAGTGACGTACAATAGAGACCAAAAACATTATCCCACGGCATATAGGCGTTTTAATTAGAGTGGAAAGTCGTTGACCATAATCTGAACCACAAATTATATTTGATTAATAGGATGTCTAATAGATGAACTATACTTTTAGTCGTCTAGCAACCCAAGTCAAGTGGTTATACGAACATAAGGTGAACTATAAAAACCTTTTATTCAAATTTATAATATAAAAAAAAAAATGCTGCCGTTGAGTTACGACAAACCGAACTAGAAGAATAAGAAATTTCATCAAATACATTTTAATTATTTTTATTTTACGTCAAATATATCTCGTATGCACGTTTCTTAATTAATCAACATGCTAACAAATGAAAAATTGTCAATTTAATTGTATAAAAAAAACAGTATTTATTGGAAGAAAAAGATGAGTATGAACTCTTTGACAAAGAGTGTTTATATCAATACGCAGTAGATATATTTCTATTATTTCATGATATTTTACTCGCAATTAATTTAATTAATCTTGTTTAATATTTTTTTATGAATAAAAATTAACATTAATTAGTATAGTTAAATAATGATTTTGATCAGAGTTACTATAGATCATGTACAGTTGTTAATGTAATGAATAATTTTTGAACATTAGAAATGAAGTATATAAGAAAAAATATTTATTGAAAGTAAGTTATTATACTTAATGTTTAAATAATTACTTTAAATATTACCACTAACAATTTTTTAAGCCTGTTATTTTTAATGAGGCAATTAAATATTTAACTGTTATTAATATTTAATATCACTCAAAAGTGATTGTTCTGTTACATCAATATATTGATTTAGTAATAAAAAATGTGTTCTATATATTCTACTACGCTTATAGATTTATTATTTAAATGATATTTTTTATGAATTTCATCAAATAGATTATTTGTGACATGAGTTCCAGAAAAATTATTTTTAGTATCATATCATTTTAAAAATATCTTGTTTTTCTTTATTTGATATAAAGGTTTGACTTCTAAATTTACTTTTATTTATGTCTGTACTATAAAAATATTCATTGATATTAATTTTTGAATGAATTATACAACCTTCAGTAATATATGAATTGAATTATTAAATAAATACATGTTTTTCTATAACATATTTTTTTAGAGGAAAAAAAATGCAAAAGTAAATTATTTTGTTAAAATTATGATAAGTAAGTAGAAGATTTACACATTTTATTATAATTCCAAAATCTAAACTTTAACTAACCACTTGTAAATAAAATATATAATTAGTATTGATTATAATTAATAACCTAATCACGATGATTTCCATAACCTTAATCACAGCTATCTGAGGTCTGTTCTACATTATAGTAATATTTTAATACCGGCTCTCGACCTGACTCAATCTCATAATGGCTGAGGGAGCCAGGTATTATGATTTGTTAATAAAAAAAAACTAAACATGATTATCTATGAATTAAACTTAAGACTTGTAAATTATTATGAATAATTTTTAAACCACTAAGAAAAGCCTAAATGCTCAACACTTATATATTATAAAATATCTGAAAAATAGTTATTTACATCATAAATCTTTAAAGAAAAATATTTGATTAATCTAAACTGTAGTTAGTAAAAGTTCATTAAGTATAAAAAATATTAAATATAATAATTATTATGTATTAATTGAATCATTTTACAAGTAGTGTTGAACTAATGGATTTATTCAATGACTTATTGAAATAATTGTTTATAATAAAACAGTGATAGTTAAAATTTGACGTGAATCGCAAGTATATTAATATTATATGACCTTCATTAAATATGTATCATGCTTAAGAAAAATTTACTTAGTAGTTATTAAAACAATAACAATTATTTAATACACTTATCCATTTAACTTAATTGATTTTGTTTAAAAAAATATGTAAATAATGAACACGTAACAGTTTTTTACTTAATAAATTTAATTTATTGAAAAAATAATAAAAAGAAATATATTTAATTAAATTCAGTTAAAGAAATTTATCAAAATCTAGAATAAAACAAAAGCCGTTTATTTATTCACGATAACTAGTAAGAGATTCGACTTCTATCTATTGAATTTGTGAGTTCAATTACTGGTACTCCTTCAAGGGCTGATAATAAAAGTTACATACCTAAAATCAATATTTAATGTAAAACGATATGTTTTTCTTGTGACCTTTTCTCAGTATATACTTCAATGTTTAATATCCTAAAAACACATGAGAATATTCAAATTTTCACAAACTTTTAAATACTATAGAAAACTTAATAATAAACAATAATTAAATTTCATTAAATCTAATTTAAAAAATGACTCTTGAAATTTTTTCAAAAGGGTTTTTGTAAATTAAAAAACTATTTTTTTTTTAATAAATTAAAACCTATTGATTATTATAAAATGTTTATAGCCCCACATGTAACAATAAATATTGAATGGATCAAAAGATATTAAATTTGTTATAATATCATGAACCACTGTACACAAAATTTAATTGAACTGAAGTTTAAATTAAATGTTTACTAAATTCAACCATTACCCGTTTTCTCTAATAGAGCGCGCAATGTTAAAGGGACATACAATGTTATTTTTACAGATTGTAAACTAACTCACTAAAGACTTATTATGAAGGCATACTAAATTATTCTATACACTTAAATAGTATTTTTGCTTCATTATATAGAACATAAAGACAAAATTATCGAAGTTATGTATACAAGATGGTTGTGCTGAGTGATATTTAGTAACTAATGTTATTTGAAATCCTAGTTTATTTCCATTGTCGTGTAGATGTCGCCAGTTGATGGAATAGTCATCGTTTCTCATATAAATGTATATAAATAAATAAAACAAAATTATTATGAACAATACTAGAATTATTTATAGTAATTTATTAAATATATTATATTATTTCAAAACCTTTAAAAAATACATAAATGTCACATGATATGGTTGTTATTATAAGCAGGTATATCTCAAATCTATCTGACAACGCTTATAACTTTTAATACAATTATTATTTTGTTAAACATTTTTTATAAATAATTATGATATTTTTAGAATTCATATAACGCATATATAACTATTATTACTGTCTATAAGAAAAAGTAATTTAAATAATGTTAACTTTTACTTTTTTTTTTTTCAAAATTGACAATTTCTTAGTCCTTTTCTTACAAATAAAATGCTATGGGTCTATAACAATTTCAAGACAAGTACTTATCAATTTATAAGAATTTTAATACATAGCGTGAGAATGTAAGGCAAACAGGTGTAACCTATAATGATACGTATACTCCGATCATTTTCCATACCTACTCAGTATATTAAAATATATGTAACTCAATAATCATTTGTTTTAAATCGTTATCGAATTAAACAAGGAATACTTAAAGAAATTTTTCGATTTTTAGCTTTTATTTTAAATAACTCTAAGAAAATATTGTCAGAAAGTTTTTTTTCATTAATAAGTACTTTTAAAAAGCTGTAATTTGAAATAAATTTGATAAACGCAAACTTCCCGGAATATTTTCTCAAATTGAAAAGGTAATTTATTTGAAAAAGTTGCAACATTTTTTTGCTTTTTACAGCTATTGTTTTAAATATCAATGAAATCCTTTATTCATGTGAAACTACATTCGATGCCATTATGTATGGAACTCGATTTCTTTTGCATGGCCACCACGGGCACGCTTGCAGAAGTCCAGACGCTGAACCCAATTTTCGACGGTTTTCAAGCATAAATCGGCCGATACTTCTGCAATCTCACATTCGATATTCGTACGAAGTTCATCAATCGTCGCTGGCTTGTTGGCATAGACCATAGACTTGACGTAGCCCCACAGAAAATAGTCTAACGGCGTCAAATCGCACGACCGAGGCGGCCAATTGACTGGGCCATTTCGTGAGATAACACGTTCACCAAACTTGGTTTTCAATAAATCGATTGTGACATTCGCTGTGTGGCTTGTGGCGCCGTCCTGTTGAAACCAAATATTGTCCAAGTCCATATCATCCAATTCGGGCCAAAAATATTCGGTTATCATTGAGCGATATCGATTCCCATTCACAGTAACGTGCCGGTCTTGATCATCACGGAAGAAGTACGGCCCAATGACGCCGCCGGCTCATAAACCACACCAAACCGTAATTTTTTCGGGATGCAATGGTGACTCATGGAGTACGTGTGGATTACTGCCTGACCAATAACGCATATTTTGCTTATTGACGAAGCCATTCAGCCAGAAATGAGCCTCATCGCTGAAGATGATTTTTCGATGAAAATCCGGATCATTTTCAAGTTGTTGCTCAGCCCAATTCACGAACATACGACGCTTCTGGTGGTCAAGCGGCTTCAGTTCTTGCGTCAATTTGATCTTGTAAGGATGTAGGCCAAGATCTTTTCGCAAAATTCGCCACAACGACGTCACAGATACGCCCAACTCTTGAGAACGACGTGTGAGAGACTGATTTGGGTCTTCCTCAATTGATGCGCTAGCGGCAGCAATATTCTCGACACTACGGGCACTTCTTTGTCTCACTGGCACGGGAACATTTTGTACTGTGCCTGTGGATTCAAATTTTTCCACTAGACGCTCAATTGTTGATCTGGCAGGACGATTATGACGACCATAAATTGCACGTAGCGCTCTTAAAGTTGAGGCCACTGACTCCGAATTTCGGTAGTAAATTTTAATAATTTCGACTCGTTGTTGGATCGTATATCTTTCCATGATGAAATGGCAAACCTTACTGAAGAGAAATGTCAAGAGAGCGGGAAAAAATATAGCGTCGTTTGCTGTCCCTATCGGTTTACTTTTGTAGCGTCCCTATTGAAAAACCTATTAGAACAATTTTTATTTCATATTAAAGTATATTTTAAAAGATAAAATTTTATATAGGTTAAAGTAGGTAGACTTTTTAGAACATTTACAAAATATGAGGTGAAAAAAATGTTTACATGCATGGATCTTTTTCAAACTCTTCCTACACTACAATTTATCATTGAATCTTTACGTATAGTAGACCACAATAAGCTTAATGTAACTAGTATATTCTATTTAAATTACATTTTGATCATTATTTTTGAATAAATGTTATAGTAGTTTTAAATTACAGGAAAAAAAATTGAATATGCTAATTTTACGGTAGCGTAATTTTGATATATTTTTAAATGTCAAAGATCGAGGGTCAATTTAAATTTGAAATTTAATTCTATAAAATTAAAATTTAGTTCTTTTGGCGCATAAACAAATAAAATCCAATAAGTGATATCTGTATATACATTAAAGCAAGTTTTTTAAAAATGAAAAATTATTTACTTCGGTAAGGTGAATATTTAACATTTAACTAGTATTGAAGTTATTTTTAAATTAGTTATTTCACTTTAAAATAAATGAGTATTATAATTTCGTAGCAGAAGAATAGAATTTCAGACTTGCTTAGAGATAAAAAAACGGGCCAACGCTTCATCTGCGTCATATATTATTAAATATAACAATTTCCAAAATATTGATTCAAAAGTTTAATTAACTCGTCTTATAATTTTCTTATTATTAAGCTATTTAAATATGCATGTTTCTATTCAAAAACTTGAGTTTATTTAAATTTAAGTGGAAGGATAGGGATATATTTTTATATTAATTAAAATGTGTAAGATAGAATAACTTCTGATAAGAAAATAATTTATATTTTATCTTGTACTCTTTAAGATAATGAGTGTTACATAATTATAGTTTTGTCAATGTCTGCTACAAGAAATCATTCTGTATGCAAAATGCTATTTTTTATCATAACCAACTCAATTACTCACAGAATAACAATCATTTAAATTATTTTTTTTTGGTAAACTTTAGTTACATATTATTATTTAATTATTAGTTATTAAATATTTTTTCAATTCATCTCTTATGCCTTGTAAGGGTATCAACTTTGTTTTTTTTTTTTTAATGGGTACGTTTTTTATCTGTATTTTTTTTATTTTAGTGAATATTTCATTAATGAATAATTTGATTTCAAAAGGATTTGCATACACATAGTGTTTTATTGCATATAATTAAAGAGATAACGTACGTGTTTAAAAGAAAGTGAAGAAGACCTTAATTGGCTGAATTTTTAGTGTTGTAATAAGTTCCAGCAATTATGTTCATTTCGATAAAGTGCAACTATGTCATTACCAAAGGTTTGCGACCCTTCAACTGCTGTCAAACAAAATAGTACGGTGTCCCTTAATAACTATTATTACTGGCATGTCAATGGGAGTAAGCTCTTTTCGTTTATTGTTATGATTATTTTTATTATTCTATATGCCTTTAGCGTGCTTTTAAATAAACTTTTACACACGCACATAATAGAATAAAGTTGCTTGTGAAGCTTGATAATGTAGTCTCCAAAAAAATCACATCAAGTAAAAATTATTTAAAGAGATTTAGAATGTAAGTTAAATTCATATAACTCTTATGTAAATCGTGATTTAATCGCTGTGGCCTTCAATTGTATCATCTATTTGTAATTTTTTAAAAAGTTATTACAGTATAACATTGAAATTGTAAAATAAATGTATACGAAGAAACTTTTTAATTAGATTTTTTTGGTAAGTGATTCAAAATTAAAAGTTTTTTAAAAATTGTATAAATTATATTATGAAATCAAGAATTTTTACATAAAAGTTGTACTTCTTTCTTTAACATTGAAGTCCGTTTTCACTACAAAGATAAGTCGTGGGGACAATTGTTTTTATTCAAATTAAAGTATATTATACAAGCTTTAATTTAAGATATACGTATATAAAAGTGTCAGTATTTCCGGTACATTTTTAAAAGTTAATTTAAAAATGTTACGTGTTTGTTCCCTAGGGTGGGGATATTTTTCAAAAAAATTTTTTAGGGTCAAATTTTTAAGAAATATACCAAATTTATAGGAAATTACTTAAAAAGGCATTGTTTTAACTTATCCATTTTTTAAAAAGTTATAGCAGTTTTAAAAAAAAGTTTAAAAATAGTCAAAAATTACTGATTTAAAAAAATGTAATCTTTTTGAGGATTACCCCTATTACGGAATACGAAAGAAATGTTTAAATTTTTGAGAGTAGTGTCTTCGACTTGATACGATTTGTGATCTTTTGACGTATTGCTGAAAGAAATGGGTTCGGTGAAAGCTGAAAAAGTGGTAACAAACATAAAAAAAATAGAATAATATCACAGTAAAATTAATATAAGGATAAAACTAAGGACTATTCTTAGAGTTTCATTTTCAACCATCTTACACAATCTAGTTGACGAAACGTCACCAATTGTTCACAATTTTTTTGTTTTAGTTCGAACAGCTCTAGGGGATGACACCAGATGTTTTTATAATTGATAATTGATGGTTACCTTACCATTATTTACAAGTAGTCGGTGACCGACAGTGAACTACACACGATTACTTAAGGTATTTCTGACCAGTTTTTGCCTCGTTAGTTCGTTTTCAGTTATGAGCTAACGTTTCGGACTCGTTTCAAAATCCACATCAGAGCAATATTTATAGGCTCGTGGTTGTAATTATACTGTTGGGTTAGCTTGTCTACGGTTTGTTTTTTTATATCAGTTGATAACTAATAACGTAAATGTTATTTTTTGTTGTTGTATTGTTGATACAAACTGTTAGTTTGTTGTTTATATCCGGTTTTTGTTATTGTTGATGTTTACGGGATTCTTGGCATTTTCTGTGATGGTTAATTGTAGTTTTTTTATTCATTAAGTTATTTTCTCTGCTGATTTGCTTGATGTATGATAGGTAACCAAGTCTTGCTAATAGTCAATCCATCTTCTCTGCTGTAATTTTCTAGACATTTTCCGGTTTCTAATGCTTCTTTATACATCCATTTATCAAAATGAGCTTCTTTTTTCAATATTTTGACTTTGTCAAATTGAATCTCGTGTCTACTAATTTTGGCGTGTTTAGCTACTGTGGATTTTTCTGTCCATTGTTAAACTACGTCTCTTTCGTGTTCTTTTATTCTTGTTGCAATAGCTCTTCCAATGTTTCATCATCAATCTTCCAATGACAATTCTTGTCCAATGTTTCATTTATCTCATGAACACATTATTTCATAGACTCTGGGTGTTTGCATTACTCTGCAAAAATGTATGTGTTTACTGTTTACGTCCTCACTTCTCCTACCACTTATTAGTAAAAATGTTAATAACTTCTGACATACTGGTCTAAGGGTTTTAATCGACCAGCCATTTGCTTAATTATATTTTATTTACTTTTTTTCATTTTATAAACTGGTTAAATATGTATGTTGCTATTTCAAAATATAAAATTGACAAGCCTACATGATATAAGCGATAACATATAAAATATTTCATAACAAATAAATATAAATACATTTGTAAACAATTAAAATATTTAAGTTAAAATTTAAGATCATTATAAAAGAAAATGGTCACTAAAAGAAAATATATTAAAAAAATATTAATTTGGCTAAACTCAAAAAAAAATTAATTAATTAATCTTGAATAATTAATTTAAAAATTTTTGTAAAAGTTGGTAACCAATCAGTATTTGTAAAAAATTATTATATATTAATAAAATGATTAATAGAGTCAACATCTTTAATTTCTATTATAAATTGAACAAGGGTTCTAAAATCATATAAATTAAGTTACGGCTAAATAATTGGTCATTAACTATAAATAACTAAATATTATTATAAATTTATGATTATAAGTTTTATTATATTTTTTTAGTTATTGAAATCACATTATACTTTGGGTTAATTATGTTAATTATTTTATTTTCTTCAATTTATGTTAATAATTACATTTTATTTTAGAAAATAAACTCATAATTTTATACAATTGAAGGCTTTAAGTAAATAGGAAACTTAGTGCTGTTTTTAGGTATTGCATTTTTTTATTAGCGTTGGTACATAAATTCAGTTAATGGTAAAATCTCAATTTCTTTGAAAATGGCACATAGCTACTTATATACTCCAAGTCCTCAATTATTTATTAGTGCATTGTAATATTGATATTGTTTCGTTCGAGGCAGCAGCTAACTATAGGAGGGGTCATCTAGGAAGATGCCAGTTAACCGCATATCCAATAAATGGTGAGATTAGACAATAATTAAATAACAAATAACGACGAATATTAAAGGTTCTTCAATTAATATCTTAAAATTTAAGGAGTAACGCAGGATCCTTAAATACTAATGGCCCACGAAGCGGCATAAAACAAATATTTAAATTCAATTAAAAAGAAAATAATAAATAACATTAAATAATAATACAAAACTCAATTGAATATGAGATCTTGTGGTAATAGTGTCGTCGAACATCACGATTCAGAGTGCAGGCTAATAATTTCAAATGAAACCAGACGGTGTAAAAGCCACTACGTCAGTGAATGGCACTGAATTGAATGGTCAGGGCCCAATCACTGTAAAGGGCACAAGAACTTTGCTGCCGTGCTAAGCGAAAAAAGGATAACTCCAGTCAACATGATTTTTCAGGAACGCAAAAAAACATTTTTAACAGTAAATCAAGATACCCTTTTTTCCCAATGTATGAACATAAGTCAAAAGACGATAACTCCATTATTTTTTATGTGATATACCAAGTTTTTGTTTAGTATTTGGATTTACCGTGTTTTCGCTTTTACCGTATTTTCCCTTACAAAACATCAAATATATTGAACTTACCGTATATTTTCTTATTTTATATTTCAATTTTAGATGGGCTTTAATAGGAAATATGCTATTTTTACATCAAAAATCGGCGTAAAACCACTAAATTCACCTATAGAAACAAAAAAAAAATTTTTTTTAATAATGGAGTTATCCTGTTTTTGCTTAGCACGGCAGAATGATGCAACGAATAAATAATACAAATTATGGCGTACAATGGCCGAACAANCACCTATAGAAACAAAAAAAATTTTTTTTAAATTTTGGAGTTATCCTGTTTTTGCTTAGCACGGCAGAATGATGCAACGAATAAATAATACAAATTATGGCGTACAATGGCCGAACAATTGACCATCCAAGCGAGGCGCTTGCTACAAAAAAGATGACACATAAAAAAACATTGATTCACTGACGTAGGACAATGAACATGGGATAATTCTGACATGTAAACATATTTACAAAATGGAAGTTCTCGTAAAAAGAATCATAAAATTTGTTTGTTTCACATTTGAGTAAATACGCAAAGTAGGACGTGCAAATAAAAAAATGTTACAAAATTATTAGAATTAAAATCACAAAATTATATTGAACATTATTTTAATTTTCTTGTGCCTATAATTATTTTACTTATAACAAAGTATTTCACTATCAACAATCATGAACTTGTGTTTTTTAATATATGTTATCATGCAAATGTATTGTGATATTGTTAATTGTTATGGATGTATAAAACCGACATTTGACGAACATCAGGTAATAGTATACAACGATATTCTAAGTCACAATGGATGGACTTTAATTATGCAATCTGAATTCAATGATGGTAAAAATATAAAATCAATTTCAAATGATTTACTAAATGAAGTCAATATTTATGGTACAAGTTATATAGTTGATAGGAATAACTTTAAAGTTAAATTGGCTTATGGATTCACCGTTATGAACTTAATATATGCATATTTAATGAAAAAAATTTATAGCTTGCTCAGAAAAATGGTTTTAGGTTATATCATAGCAGAAAACGACGGTAAAAAATGGACTCAAATGCAAAGAGTTGGAGATAGCTTTAATATGTTTAAGCCGTTATTTTCTTGTATGCTGAATTCCCTTGAATTTTTTCAGAAGCAAAGTAAGGTGAAAAATTATCTCGAACAATACAATGATTTTTACGAAAATCTTAACACAAAAATAAAATTTAATGACACTTGTTTTAAAAAAAATAACATAATCGATTACGTGGCTGTTAACAAACTATTTTATAAATTTGAAGAAGAATTTTTCAAGGAAAATTACCTCACGTCATTTATTAATCAACGAAAAGTGAATACTGAAATACTAAAACATTTTATAGATGAATACATAAAAAAATTAACTGATCTTGATGTTCCTATAGGGAATAATACTAACAAATTCAATCCTTACCATCTTAATTCACAAATGAAAATACAAAATGGCATTCAACATTTCTGCAAAGATTTTGGTTTTGGTATATAAACTTTTAAACATTCTTTCCTCTGTTAATTAAGCTATATTTTTATCTTTTTTTAACCTTTTAATTAAAATCTCCATAACTATAATATTCAAAATATATTTTAAAAACATATTATTTTTTAAATAATGTTATGCTAGTTTTTTATAATAAGACTTTGGTGCCTATTATGATGTTATTGGCGAATAATAATTTTTTGTGTACTGTTTGATGAGTTTAATTTATATTTAATTATAAATTTTTTATAGCAATTAAATAAAAATTTTCGTCACTGTAATATTGGGTCAATATGATAGATTAATGTGGGTAATTTTTGTAGTATATGATATTTCTTCTTGTTAATAATTCATAATAATAAATTTTTGTGGTAAATGAATTATTTTCATACTTCAAAAATGTTTTTTTTAATTTTTATTAATATTAAAGCACATTTCTTTCAAATTTTAATTATGTTTTCTTAATTTTTTTTAAATTAATTTTTCAATTAAATAGCGAAAAAAAACAATTAAAGTAGAAAATTAATACATGCAATATACGAATAACACAAATAATGATACAGAATAAGAAAATATTGTTATGTGATACCGAAATTAATTTTGTCTCTGTGACCTAGTGTTAGTATTGTGGACTAATGTGTGTAATTTTTGTATTACATGATATTTCTTCTTGTTTTTTTTTTCATAATATTTTTAATGGTATTGAATTTAAAATCATTAAACGAAAAAAATGTATAACGAAATTAATATTATTATTTTGCAATATTTTACATAAATGTTGGTATAAATTTTCCCATAAACGTATCATATATTATTGTTTCATTTTATATTTGAATAAAAATAATTATAGAGCAAAAATACGTTTGCCTTCTTTTGCATTAAGTTGGTAACTCACTCATTGTTATCACAAGATTATGTTACAAAGTACAATTAATTCCAAATTGGTTTTGTACTTTAAATAAACTTGAATATATAAAAAACATAAAAACCTCACAAGAGTTAAAAAGCAAAGGAAAAAAATATGCATTTTTGACTTTGTATCAAAATGTTCCAATACTAGAATAGGATTTGGAAAAATAAACACCTTCAGATAATATTTTTTAAGAGCTTTAAATACTTTTTAAACATTCAAAAATTGACCTAGATATAACCATTTAATGTGAAATGTATAAAAATTACAAAGAGGACAAATATTTGTGTTGTATGTAAAATATAAAACAAAATTTGAATTTTTTTCTCTCTTATTACTTTTATAGTCGTCTAAATATTATGTTTTATTTAAATAATATTTTTTACAAATTCAATTATTTAATAGTTGAAAAAAAAGTACGTTAAAATAAAATTTAGAAGTTCGACGGCTGATAAAGGTGACACGGTCGCGGGGCATCATGTCAATAATTTATATAGCACAAAAGTTTCAAATTCTAAGAATAACACAAGTGCTGTAGTAACTCAAAAGTGTACAAATAATGAAAAAAAAAAAAAATCTGATATCAGTATATATGTAGTTGTTTGAAGAGATATTAAATTAGACTCTTATGATCTTAAGCTTAATTCTTATTTTTCTCGAGTTACTTTTTATATCGGGGATAAGTGTTCTGAGAGTTTTTTTACTAACACAATACCAAAGAAAAGAAATATTTACACATATATGTATAAAGTCTTAATTTACAAAGAAATCAGAGCAATCGCCAACCGTAAAATAGCAAATGAATTCTGCTCTTTATAGATTCAGTTTTACCAAAAGTACTTATTTTAATTTTACTTTTTATATTATGAATTATATCTAGTATTTTTTGATTACATTTGAATAAGTCTTCATGAAATAAATTTTTTTTTTTTTTTTATTACAATGTATTTGTTTACGCTGATGATGCGGTTGAAGAAAGTGACATTAAGAGATTCTTTGTGCGAGTGTTTTTTTAGACCACGTTAACCCGTCTTTTTATACTTTTTTAAAATTTAATTATGGGATCAACATCATTAGTGTTTCCAGATATTTGTGTTGACATATTGTTTAATTGTGATCAAAGTTTACAATATTTTCTTTTAATACACAATAATATGAGTAATAAAATGATCAGATAATTTTTATCACGTCAATACTACTATTGCACTACTCTATATTTCTATGATAATTAATCAAATCACTTGATTTTTTAAGTAATTATATTGGTTGAATAATAGAAAAATAAATAACTTTTTTTACAAAAAAGTTATTTTTGAAAACACGTGAGATAAAACCTTCTGATTCTGATCAATTTTGTAAGGATATGACTTATTATTACATTTATTTTATATTCAATCATGTATCAAAATGTGTGCTCCAAAGAAATAACAACTAAATTATTTATTTACTTCAAGATCATAATTTCTCGCGAAAATCAAGTACATCATTTATTTTAGTAAGAAATATAAAACTTATTCAGTTGTATTTAACAGCAATTTAAGTAGTTTTAAAATAAGTATTTCACTTTATTAACATGCAAAATTATATTAAGTGTCATATTTATTTAAAATAAATGCGTACAATTTAATATTAGGTCTAATAATAATTATTTGCTAATACATACAATATATAAAAACGATTAATTCTAGATCCAATTCATTTAAATCATTGAAAAGTTTTACACATTTATCGAATTTTAATTTCATTATATTAATAAGAATGAATTTAATTTTAATGTTCTCAATATTTATTACACTTTACCTGATATCTGATTCAAGTTGTAACGATTATCCAAATGACGAGGAGAAAATGACAGTTGTGATTACTTCAGGATGGGGATCATTTAGATATAATTATTATTATGAAAATGATGAAGCATTAACAAATAAAAAACATATCTGGATAAGCTGTTTAGCTCGTTCTGAAATCGAATTGTCGTACAAATATGGTGGTATAATATTAAATTCAGTTTATGTCTGTCTTATGGAACAACTTTATAAGAAGTATACAAATGCAGCAATTCACTATAAGAATTCATATTGGTATAAAAGAAAATCGAGTGGCTTAAAAAAATTATGGAAAAGTATAACTATGTTGAAAATTTTGATAGTCCATATGATAAACGGCCTTAAGTTTTTTAACTTTGAGGAAAAAGCTGTGCTTGAAAATCTTGAAAAATTCAAAACATTTATAGATGATAACGCTGGAATAGTAAATTGTAATAATCATAATATTCGTAATAAGTTTAATAGTATAATCGATATTGTAAAATTTGACAATAATCTTACACAATTTAAAGCAAAACACATTGTTGAAGTCGGTGTAGAACCCGCTATTGTTAAATTTATTAATTCCTTATGTGGAGTTAATGATTGGAAAATAAATGATAAAAAATTAATTGATCCTGAACAGGATGATTTTAAAACAATAATTAAAGATGGTATTTATTCATTTTATGGACAATTTGGATTCAAATACAATATGTTCAATCAGAACATTGAGGATGAAGAAAAATTTAATTTCTCTCAGAATTTCTATAATGATGAATCTTCATGAAAAATTGTAAGATTTCAAAAAATTAATAAAAAATATTAAAATAATTATTTATCAGTTTCAAAAAAATATTTTCATTTTATTTAAATAATTGTATTGGTATAAAACAAAATTGTAATTTGTTGATGACTATGTTGCTAACTTTTGTTTTCAACAATGTTTCTTAAGCGTGAATCAATCTTTACATTAAATTATTCAATATAAATTATTATGTATGTAATAAAAAGTAATTACTATTATAATAACTCATAAAATAAGCTTAAAATAAATATATTATTGGACAATTTTTTGCTTTATTTAGTTACCTATATTTTTTATTTATTTTTAATTAATTAATTAATTTGTAGAATTATCCCTTGTTACTAAAGGGATGATTATGTAATAATAAAGAAAAGATAAGAAATATAAATGTCATATTAGGGATGTCAACTTCAATTAATTTTTTAGGCAACATACATTTTTAACTAGCTTATAAAATAGGAAATAATCTAATTAAGAAAATAATTGATAAATAACAATATTTGGACCAGTATTTCAGAAGTTATTAAAAATTTAAAGTAATGATTGGAGGTAAGGAGTGAAAGTTTTTAAACAAAAAGAGCAGATATATATTAATTATACACGTATTGATTACATATTTTTATATTTTAGAATTATATCTTTATAATACCAACTGTTAGATGATATGTATTAATTTAACTCTGGCAGATTAGATATATTTAATTCAAATCTTAGAAAAATTTTACACATTTATCGAATTTTAACTTGATTAAATTAAAAAAATTTAATTTTAATTTTCTCAATATTTATTACACTATACCTAATATCTGATTAAAATTGTAATAATAAGCCGATTGAAGAGCAGTTACGGTTAGTAATAAATACTTCAGGCTTATTAAACACAATAAAAAAAATATTTAATATAAATAAACATTAAATATCGTTATGTTATTGATAATGTAAAACAATAGTCATTAAAACATAAATATATTCTTTCCAAAAATTATATTAAAAAATTTTATTTTAAAAAGGTAGCCTCCAATGACTAATAACGCTAAATATTTTAATATAAAAAAACACTTATAATTTCTTGCACAAAAACAAGTATATAATAATTATTATAAGAAATATAAAAATTATTCAGCTGTATGTAACACATACAATATAAGTGCGTACAATTTAATATTAGGTCTAATAATAATTATTTGCTGCTACCTACTATATATAAAGACGGTTAATTCTAGATACAATTCATTTAAATCATAGAAAAGTTTTACACATTTATCGAATTTTAATTTCATTAAATTAATAAGAATGAATTTAATTTTAATGTTGTCAATACTAATTACACTTAACCTTATAGCTGATTCAAGATGTAACGATAAACTAACTCAAGAAATGTTAGATGTAGTTATTTGTTCTTCAGCATGGAGATCGTTAACGCTGAATTCTTATTACGAAGATTGTAAAGGAGAAACAGATGAAAATAGTATCTCGGTATTTTCTTTAGACAATAATATAGAACATTTTTCGTACAAAGATTGTGGTATAATATTAAATACATTTTATCTCTCTCTTATGGAACAACTTTATAAGAAGTTTAGAATTGCAGCAAATTACTATAAGAATTTAAATGATCATAATACAAAATCGAGTGGCTTACACGAATTATGGAGAAGTATAACTATGTTGAAAAAATTGATAATCCATATGATAAATGGCCTTAAGTTTTTTAACTTTGAGGAAAAAGCTGTGCTTAAAAATCTTGAAAGATTCAAAACGTTTATAGATGATAACGCTGAAATAGTAAATTGTAATAAGCATAATATTGATAATAAGTTTAATAGTATAATCGATATTGTAGAATTTGACAATACTCTAATGGTATTTAAAAAAAGACACGTTGTTGAAGTTGGTGTAGAAACTGATATCTTTAATTTTATTAATTCCTTATGTGGCGTTAAACATTGGGGTATTAATGATAATGAACTAATAAATCCCTACCAGGAAGATATTAAACAAAAAATTGACAATGGCATTAATGTTTTTTATATACAATTTGGATTCACCTACAAAATGTTTAATCAGAACTTTAAGGATGAAGAAAAACTGGACGAGTCACCATGGAACATAACTTTTATCAATCGAATGAAGAATATAGATGAATGTTTGAAATTATTTAATGATCTTCAAATTTAATGTCAAACATCTAAATCTAAATTTTATTGTCTAATATGTGTGTGTGTTTTTTTTTGAAAATAAATAATAGTAAGTTGATTTTATGTCTCAATTATTTATAATCAAACCAGAACTTTTGTTTTTCATTTATAATTATTCGAACGTGTCAAATCTTTGTTTATGATACTGGTTTCTCCCTTTTTCGGACGGTAAATAATAATAAAATTAGTAAAAGAAATAAATAACATAAGGTGTTGTGTAATGTTATTTAGTAAACCTTTTTTGCTATCAGCTTATGCAATAATAACAATTTTGAGTATTATTCTAGTATTAGTTATTTAATGTTAATAATAAAGAAACTCAACACAGAGTGGTCGTGGCATAGTTGGGACAAGTACAGATGATATCTGACCGTGATTAAAATTACTATCATAAAAAACGCTTCAAAACTAATCTGTATATAGTGTTTAATTTTAAGAAATTGGTGGTTTATCCCAAAAGCACAATTAACTCATATTATCTGTTCGACTTCGACGTCCATTTACACATAGAAGATAGGTCGTCGGAAAATTTGTTTTTTTTAACTATAGTATGTAACCTAAGATTTAATTTAATATATATTTAAAAGATTCGGTATTCCCGGAACATTTTCAAAAGTTAAGTTGAAAAAATTCTATTTTTATATACGTATTTTTTAATTTTTGAAGGCGCCCTATATAAGGGGAAGTTAACCGACTCAAAAAAAAAAGTATATAAGATAAAATAGGTATATATTAACATTTACAAAAGTTAAGTTAAAAAAATTGATTTTTGTGTAAAAGTTGCAATTTTGAATTCACTCCTGTGAGCAGGTAAAAGATCAAGTTTTCATAAATTTATATAGTCTCATTTATTTATCTTCAAACCTAACCTTATATTCAAATTTTCATTCGTATGACTTAATCATTTTTAAGAAAAATAAATGGTTTTGTGGTTAGTTATTTAGTAAATCTTTTATTGCTATTACCCCATGCAATAATTGCAATTTTAAGTATTATTCTAGTGCTAGTAATTTAATTTTCATTGAAAAAAACCAACAATTATGTCACAAAATATTGAAGGCGTGGCATAGTTTGCACAAGTGTAGAAGATACCCGACTGTGATTAATTCACTAAACTAATAAATGCTTCGATGCGAATTTGTTAAAATCAACAATAAATTGTAATTTTACTAATTCTATGCGTAACGTTAAAAAATAGCTCTTCATTTTTTTTTTTTTTTGTATTTTTGTATTCTTTTATGAAATATTCATGGTATGATATTATATTTGGTATTGGTGTTTATTATGATAATTTGATAATTTGATACGAAGTGCCATATCATTCGGAAGTGTCTGTGACGTCTTTGCAAGTCTAACTGTTTAAAACCAGTCGCTTTTTTGGGGCATATACTCATAGTAATTAAATGATAATTTCTGAGGCCGGCGGGTACCAGAAGACGTTCACCGTATTCTCAAATTATAATAGTTATAGGTGTAATAATTTTTTTTAGAAAAGTCTTATTTTTTTCTCTCTATTTGTTCCTTTTATTTTACAGACGGGGTTTTTTGGCTCATAATAAATTGACTTGTTTTTCTTTTGTGACCATCTTCAACAAATTCGTGTAAAAAATTATACTCAAATGCTAAAAACTTTATTTTTAATATTGTAATACTCTCGAAAAGCTTAACCTTAACTTTGGTTTGAAGATCGTAATTTTTCCGGAACATTTTCATAAATTGAGATGAAAATATTCCCTTTCGAACTCTTCCTATATTTAGGTTTTTACAGTGGATTTTGATAGATTGTATATCAAAATAAAGCTCATTGTCTTTAGTGGTTTTTTTTTTTTTTTTGAAATTTTAATTCTATCAATTTCATAAGGATTAGTGTTTTCAAAAAAAAATTTATTTATTAAAATAAAATAAATTTTTTTTTCATTTATTCAAATTAAAACGAAACAACAAATTAATGTGTTTGATAAAATAAATAATATGTGCGGATTTAATAAA